GTGTGCCCTGTTCACGTGCGATCTCGGAAATTCGTATTCACCCTTCACGTAAGTCTGGGTCTCACTTACGATCCCGTCAAAGTTATGGCGAGAAAAATCATCTCGAGAGCAAGAAAAGCTAGGAGGCTGAAAAATTCGAGAGAATGTTTTCTGCCTATTTAGCACCCTAACGAACTCCAATTTAGCTCCCAAGTGTGCCGAGTTCTCAATTACGAACACATGAAAGTTTTGGTGGGAAGGCCACTCGGAAGCCAGAAAACTGCAGTCAAAATTTTGGAAGGGTCTTCGCCATCCAAAATTTCAAATTTGCTTTCACGTGCGCCCGTGTCTCACGTACCGGTAAGTAAGATTTTTAATGAATAATTTCGCAGCTTTGCAACCAAACAGCATACCGATTATTTTTGTGCAGTCCAAAGTGTAAAACAGTGAAAATCTTTAGCAGGCAAACGTTCGCTGATCGGAACAGCGCAAAACGCGTGGTCGTGCCGTACGCCACTCTTTATTTTTTTGCTTTTATTCATGGCTTTAGATTTTTTTTTGATCTTATGCGTTTTTTGCAGCTATGCAATGCAGAAAACGCACATTGATGAGGGGTTGTCTGTGTGTCTGTGTGTCCGTGTGTGCTTCTGTCACGGTTTTTCATCTCAAGACCTACAAAAGCTACAGGGCTGAAACTTTGGGAACTTAATCTACATGCACGTACGGGCCCCAGTCCCCAAAATTAGCGCCATTACCTGTGCGGTACCCGCTTACGGGCCCGCCAAAGTTTTTTTCGGACGAGTTCATAACTCGGGGATCTGAAAAGCTAGAAAGCTGAAATCTTAGGAGGATGTTCCCCGTCCAAGTGAGTATTGGTGAGCTCAAACCCAGCCCCCGGGTAGGCGTGATACCCGCGTACGGAACCGCCAAAATTTTTTCGGGCAATTTAATAACTCGAGTACCTCAGAAGCTAAAGGACTGCAATTTTAAGAGGATATTCATTCAGCTCAAACCTACTCTTGGGTATGAGTGGTAAACACGCACGAGCTCGTGAAAATTTTTTTCCAGTAAGTTGCTAACTCAGGGGCCACGGAAGCTAGAAAGCTGAAATTTTAAGGAGATGTTTCCTGCCAGTTCTGACGGCCAGTCTTAATTTGTTTAGTTAGAAACATTTGCCGAAAAAACCGATGCCGGTAGCAACAAAAACTGCGGGGAACTATGCAAAAAACGCATCTTCGCACGGGCAGCTTGTGCGTTGGCCAATTATTTTCATTTTATTCATAAGCTCAGGTTTATTTTTACTTCTTGTAGTGCTGGGTTGCCTCTTTCTCTTTACTGCTGTCTCCAGTTCTTGCTTCGAGTTCCTGACCGGTATCCTTGTTCCCCTTCTCTACCTTGTCCTCAAATCCTGCCTAAAGAGCAGCATCTCAGCTCCTCTCCATCTCTAGTATACGCAATATTTCAGCCTTTTTCCTACTCCGGGTATCAGCGTTAAAAAGCAGCAGCACACTTCCTCTTCCTTCCCACCTGTCACCCCGCTCTCTCTCCCCCTCCCATCTTCTCTCCAAATTCACGTGATCTAACCAACCGACGAAGGACCTACGCCACAAAGCCATTAAATCCACTTACCCAACCCCCTTTTCTACCCCATATCATCCTCAAAATCAGCCTTCCCTTACCCGCGGGTAATACGTACGGCCCTGTGAAAGTTTTTCACGGGTAAGCATGAGTAATTTAATATCTCGGGAACCTCGGAGTCTAGGAGGCCCCCTCTTCAGCCTTCCATCCCTCTCCCAGCTGTCACAATCGGAAGCCCGCAACTCGCTACAGGTAAAATCACTCGCCATCATCGACAAAAATCTTTCGCGATCCGTGTAATACGACGGCCGGACCGAGTTCTAGTAATTGTCTTGGATTTTAGCAGTGTTCTCAGGTTTATTAATTGCCCGAATCTTTAGTAGTGGGGGGGGAGTTGCAGCTTACCTCCTGGTATCATTGAGGATAATCAGAGGGGCCGTTTTTTGATTGCCGTTGTCCCACTGTTCGCTCCGTTTCCCACGTGATCTGGTGGGGCGTAAATGCGTTCTCCCGGCGCCACGCGTAGTTTGAGGAGAAACGCGGTTGTTTAGGAGTTCTGCAGTGGCCCTGGGCTTGTACAGTCGTAGCCTGCTGCTGGCTGTGAGGGTTTCCACTCGTTGCAGTTCAGCTGTCAGCCGTGTGCTGCTTTTCAGGGGGCTGTGCTGGCGATTCGGCGATGTTCTCGCTTCTCTCAGTCCGAGTGCGCTGCCTCGCGGTGCCCGAACTCCTTCCTGCGCTCAGGTTGCATTTCACGCATTCTCATTCTCATTCCACTGTCGCGTTCCAGTGGCAGTTTTGCTGTTTCAGGCGCTGTTTTGCGGCGGCATCGGGCACTGGTGTTGCATCCGGGAAGTTCGGTCGCCTTCCTCCGGGTTACGGGAAGACAACGGCATTCGGCATCTATGTGAAGGAGAATTTCGCATCCAGACCGGACGAGCAGCCAACCGAAGTGTTTAGCAACCTCACGAGACAGTGGAAGGGCCTCAGTGAAGACGATAAAAAAGTCTCTTTCATAATTGTGCATTTTGCACTGTGTAACAGCAGTGCAAAACGCATACTGTCGCCGGGTTGTCTGTGTGTGTTTTTATTTTGTCCCGCACTTTCAACTCGGGAACCACAAAAGCTAGAAGGCTGAAATTTTGGTATAGTGTTCCTCGCCAACGTGTGACCCGACAAATTTAAAGTCAGCCTTCTCGTACCCGCGGGTAACGTGTAAGGTCCTGTAAAAGTTCTGGTGGGGAAAACTGTTATCTCAGGAACCACGAAAGTTATGAAGATGAAATTTTAAGGGTATGTTCGATCCAGAATACTTAAATTCAGCCTTCCCGT